GCATGCGGCAATCCTCTCTTCTGTCATTCTACTGAATACATCCAGCACCGCACAGATCCAAAAACTCCATGTTTCACAATGAAATCCATCAGGGACTTGAGCTTTTGTCTGAAAACACGGGATGTGATGTCATGCCTATCCCTATATGATTGTCCAGGAAATAACAGCTGTACTATCTCGTCCCAAGCTGGATTGCATGTGAAGGTGATAAATAAGTCTGGACGGCCGTAGCAACGAGCATATGCCTGGGCATCTTGAGCATATTCATGCATGTGGCGTGGACTACCTATGTATGAGGATGGCAAAATCGTGAGCTTTCCAACGTTGGTTGTATTACGGTCATTCATCACAGCATCCCGCAAATGAATATATTCCTCGGCCCGAAGTTTCTTCTGATTCAATCGGAGGAACAGCAAACGTTCTGTTTCAATTTTTGCATACATATCGACAATGTACTAATGAAACAACTGATGACATTTCAATATATGATTGCAATCGGTCCTCCTAACCATTAACCTGTATGAGTAAAAGGACATCGCGCAGCCGCTCAGTCTCTCGGATGGAGGCCCGTTCTTCGTCAGTCATATTCGTAATCTTACGTCTTTTTGCTTCTGTATTGCGAATACGACGACCCAATCTCGACTTCTTTGGTGGCATGACTTCGTTTCTTACTGAACCTGAACAAAAAATAAAATTTGTATCTCCAATTTCTTCTTTCAATATGTTTTGAATGTTTGACAGGAAATGCTTTGATTAAGCTGGCTGCCTGTAGAGGGCTCAGCAGTAGGGGCACGGGGAAACGCTAAAAAAATTGATATTTTCGCAACCGCAGATAAGCTATCAACATCAAAAGTAGACAATAACCGAGCTGAAACCTCAACGCATGTTGTGTAAAAATTTGGGCTTAAACGGTTCAGAACTATTCAAGTCTATGAAGGATGTAGACACGAACAGTATCTCCAATTTCTTCTTTCAATATGTTTTGAATGTTTGACAGGAAATGCTTTGATTAAGCTGGCTGCCTGTAGAGGGCTCAGCAGTAGGGGCACGGGGAAACGCTAAAAAAATTGATATTTTCGCAACCGCAGATAAGCTATCAACATCAAAAGTAGACAATAACCGAGCTGAAACCTCAACGCATGTTGTGTAAAAATTTGGGCTTAAACGGTTCAGAACTATTCAAGTCTATGAAGGATGTAGACACGAACAGTATCTCCAATTTCTTCTTTCAATATGTTTTGAATGTTTGACAGGAAATGCTTTGATTCAGCTGGCTGCCTGTAGAGGGCGCAGCAGTAGGGGCACGGGGAAACGCTAAAAAAATTGATATATTCGCAACCGCAGATAAGCTATCAACATCAAAAGTAGACAATAGCCGAGCTGGAACCTCAACGCATGTTGTGTAAAAATTTGGGCTTAAACGGTTCAGAACTATTCAAGTCTATGAAGGATGTAGACACGAACAGAGCATTTTTATATATAAAGATTATTTCCAAGTGGTCGAAGTTCTATCAGCGTGCCGAATTTAGTTTCCTTTCTTGTTTTATCTGACTTTTTTCTACTTGCATAAAAAAGTTTGCATGAGCTTTGCATCATCAGATTTGAGCCCCCCAAACAAAAATTTAACTATATTGGTAATTTGCTTAGTAGAACAAACTATTTTTTTTCTGTTAAAATAAAAACTTTTTTTAATTGAATTACAATATGGGCAGGGAACCTATTCGTAAGAAAATTAAAAAATCGTTGCATTTAATGAAGGTGGGCTTTCATTTCATAAAACCGACGAAGAAACGGGAAAACATCGCAAATCCATTGCCAATTTCTTTTAAAATAAGTAAGCCTATGGAAAAAACCTCAATGGAGGTAAAAGCTGTGTTATTAGTTTAGCAGAGCGCAGAGCTCACAAAGGCTTCCAACTCTAAATTTAAAAATAAAAAACACCCCTTATAAAAAAGCGCCTTAGTTTTGCTCGAACGCATATGACGTGGACCAATACGTCGTATCTTCAGACAAAAAGAAATTAAACTTAGAAGGTGAATTTAACTATGAGTTTCACGGTTTACGTAAAGAGCATCATTTGGATCACTTGCATAGTCGGGTTTGAGGAACCTCTGTTGTTTCTTTGCGACTTTAATCAGAGGAAAAATATGTGCAAATATTCAAGAATTGGGGGTATAAGACCCATTATTCTGGAGATCAAAAAAGAAAAAAATTTTGAATACAGCTTCAAGCTTCAATTGACTATGGTCAAAGGCAAGGCAAAGTTGACAAAATCTTGTGTTCAGGAAGCATTAAAGCATTTGATTGCAAGGAGAACATTGATTCTGCAAAGCTTCCATTGCAGCTTCAGTTTTTGCTGAGAAGTATCCACATAAGAGATTAATTCCATCGGTTCGCACAATTTTGAATCATGGTAAGGATATAATTGAGTATCAATATTTGCCAATTGTAGAACTTTTAGAAAAAGCTCAGAAATTCTTAAGCTAGTTTATTTGCAGACTTAGGCAAAATGCGGACCTATTAAACATGTTGGCATCATCATTTCAGCGGCACATAAAATCGCGAAAAGATAAAGAATCACTCGATTAAAGCCCAAAAATGCTTGATCTATTAGATTCTTTTAATATAGATTTAGTTTTAGAAATAGGGTTCTTAAAATGCACAAAAAAAAACATTAATTTAATTTGTTCAAATATCCTATTAAAACACTATAAATGTGTGGTAGTGTCACTTTCTAAAACCGTTAAAATTGTTAGATAGCTCATTCGGTTTAAAAGTTATGGTTCTCGCAAAGTAAAATAATAAAGGGCGCTACAGTGCGTCGGCTTGGTAGAAGTCTGTGATGAATTTGGCATGTGATAACATGGTGGTACTGCAGGTTGCAAATATTTGACCTATATAAAAAAGCATTACCTTCTATCAAACGTTCGTTCAAAATAAGTTCAACAACAGAAAACAAGCAGACTGCGGCAGATTATGTTGACACTATATTAAAATAATTTAGATGACAAGAAATTCGATTTTAGAACGGTACAACTTTGTGGTTCAATAGATGGAGGAAAGCATATGGATCTGTGGGAAGACCTTATTAGTAGTTTAGTCGTGTTGGTTGTGTAAATCTGTTTTTCTTTAACCCTAGTATTAATATAAGATAAACCCTTTCGAAGACTCTATGGAGAGGGTAAAACAGTTTGCGAGCGGCAAAAAGTTTATTCTTTTCTTTATTCTACTTTTTCGGCATTTTTGGAGGACAACTGTTGCGGTCATACTTTGTTGACCCGGCTCTTTTGAAACTTCTTTCTTTTGACCACTTCAACTTCGAGATCTCTCAAATCGGCAAGTCGAGCTGTGGAGCTGTCCCAATTTGACTTTTCTGTTCTATATCTTTCTTATATATATTTCTCTTCAAGGCTTCCCTCTTCCCTACAAAATAATATACATACATGCCAAAAACCCGAAAAAATGTATTTCCTTTTACCATTGAAACTGAAGCCAAATACCCGAAGCACCAATGCTGTCGCAGTCCAAAATATACTCTTTCCGTATTTAAATTGTTTTCCTAAAAATATATCTTATTATAGGCTTTGTCAATACGACATTTATTTATCCATCTTTTTCTTGTCAGATAAAGAATCAATAATACTCTACAATTTTGCGTAAAATAGGAACGATCGAGAAATTAATACAATCCAAAATTTTAACTCATTCAGTTTTCAACAGATTTTCATCAAATTTAAGTTATAGCCATTTCATATTATAATACAATTTTGTGTTAAATTTTATGAAATGACTATATCATGTAGCATAGGAAGATCGTTAGATATAGAGGAAGAATGAAAATCTGTGATTGTTAAACTGTAAATATAATATGTATGTGTAAAATTTTATGAAAATCGGACGACTATATCATATAGCTCCCATAGGAACGATCGAGAAATTTGAGAGGAATGAGAATGGCAGTGGCTGTTGTCGGAAGACTCACAATCGCGGTGGCGATAACATTTTTAGTTTTCAACAGAATTTAATCAAATTTGAGATATAGCCATTTCATATTATTCTACAATTTTGTGTAAAATTTTATGAAAATCGGACTCCTATATCATATTGCTCCCATAAGAACGGTCGAGAAATTAATACAATTAAAAATTATAACATTTTCAGTTTTCAACAGATTTTCATCAAATTTGAGGAATAGCCATTTTATTAGTCTTAAATTTTGTGTCAAATTTCATAAAAATCGGACGACTATATCATATAGGTGCCATACAAACGATCGTTAGATGTGGAGCAAAAATGCAAATCTGTGAATGTAAAACTGTAAATATAATATGTATAGGTGAATGAAATAAAAGCAGGTATTACTTCATTGTTTTTTAACATAAATATATATTATTTATATTGTATTGATTCCTAGTCATCGAAGTTCTATCCGCACGGGTATATAAACTTCGGCGTGCCGAAGTTAGCTTCCTTTCTTGTTTTTTTGTAATTTCTCTATCTCTTTGCTTTAAAAATATTTACAATTCATTTATTTCGCACAGAAAATCAGTTAATTATTTTTTTGTCTTATGTTATTAATAGGCTTTAGATGACATAGATAAAAAGTTACCAAATTTTGAATTTGTAATATCTTTGAAGGTTTTTATAAAGTCCACATATGCAAAGTCTTTTCTTCACTATATATATAACTTTTGATATTGAATTCTGCGTGTATATTGAGGAGTTGCTTAAACACTTTGTACTACTAAAATGAACACGATCCGTTCTAAAATGTAAATCAAAACTTTCTTAGTTCGAAATTGGGTTTCGAAATATGTTAAAAAGTAAAACTGCTTAAAAATTTGAAATTGGAATTTTTGCTTAATAGTTTCCCTACCTGTTTAAAAAAAATAATGACAAAGAAATTGAAGTATTTCTGTATATGTTGTCTCAGTAGTAACAAATTGTTTAATTTTTTTTATTTATTGTAAGTGGTCTTAAAATCAGATTGTTCTACATACATTGTTCCATCGAAATGGTATAAAAAACAGCCAATAAATCCATAGAGACGACACAATTCCAATGATTAAAATTATTAGATGTTCTTGATTAAAATTATCCCAACAAATGGGATCTGATGACATTATACTCATCTGCATTTAAAATGGAAGAACTGCAGACTTATAATAATGATAACTAAAAGTTCGGTTTCAAGTAATTTAAAAGACGAAGCTGCCTTGCTTCTTCTGGATAACTGCTTAAAATTTTTCCCTACACAACCGAGTCAATTGATATTGCATCGATCTTAAATGACTGAGGTCACTGAGTATCCCATGAATACATTTGAAAAGGGAATTAGGTAGTCAATCTTATGTTTGACATAAAGAATAGTGTTATATGGGTGGCCAAAAAAATACCCTTTCAGAAGTTTAGTAAACATATTAGTACGACAGAAGTACTATACTCTCTTCACAATTTTTTACTACACATCTTCAAATTGTTTAATAGTATTTATTAATGTTACAAAAGGCGCACAAGTTTTTTTATGGAAATTTTCTGTGTATATGGACTGTTGAGCAAAGTGCCCGCTGATACTAAGCATTCTCTTAAAAGGGGAAAACAAATACATACATAAGTACAAACGTACGTATATGCACGTGCTTTCAAAGTACACTAAAAAAAATGGAACAAAATTTCCGTAGACGTAAAAAAAAACCAAAAACATTTAAAAAAAATTTAACCTGCGACTTTTTTACAATTACTTGGGGAAAAAAAGAAAATTTTTTTCGATTTTTGACAGACACTTAGAGCTATAATTCGTTTTTGATTTTTTTCTTAAATGTATATTTTTTTTCATTTCCTAAAATTTTCCTGATCCAGCCCAGCTCTTGAACAATCAATTAAAAACCATATTAAAGATATGACAGAGAATTAAAGGAATATTTTTGTATACTTTTAGAACATAATTTTCGTACGAATTCAAGAAGATGAGTATAATCCCCACACTTTCAAAAAAATAACCACCCTATTCACCGCCTCGAATACTTGTTTTTTTACACCCTTGCAGGGTATTATAATTTCAGTCAGAAGTGAAGTAGTCATCTCCGACCATACATATATACATATATTATTGATCAACATCAACAGCCGAGTCGATCTAGCCATGTCCGTCTGTCCGTTTCTACGCAAACCAGTTTCTCGGTTTTTTAAACTATCTAAAAAAACTTTTAAGTAAGTTTTCTATATACTCTCACTCGTATGTATTGGATCAGCTGCCATAGAAACGATCGGAAAATTTATACAATTAAAAATTATAACTTTTCAGTTTTAAACAGATATTCATTAAATTTGAGATATTGCCATTTCATATTACTTTACAATTTTGTGTAAAATTTTATGAAAATCAGAATACTATATTATATAGCTCCCATAGGAAAGATCGTTAAATATAGAGGAAAAATGAAAATCCGTAAATGTAAAACTGTAAATATAATATGTATAGGTGAATAAAATAAAAGCAGGTATTACTTCATTGTTTTTTAACATAAATATATATAATTTATATTGTATCGATTCCTAGTCATCGATGTTCTATCTGCACGGGTATATAAACTTCGGCGTGCCGAAGTTAGCTTCCTTTCTTGTAAAACGATAAAATGTAGTGTCCTATATATTTATTTCAGGAACCTTAAGTCGTTTAAAAAAATTATAACTTTTACGTTCTTCTAAATGTTTTCATATAATCAGAGATGTAGTTATTTTATGAAAATCGGATGATTATATCATAAAGCTGCCAATTGAAACGTTCATTAAATGTAAACAAATAAATTCAAAACTGTGAATGTTAAACTGTAAAAATAAAATTTATATAGTGTAACAGAAGTAGGCAATATATCGTTGTTTTAAACAAAAAATTATTTAATTTATATTGTATTATTTATTAATGATATAATTGCAATCTAAAATGGTATGCGTGCCCAAATTAGTTTCCTGTATTTTTTAGCGAGTTCAGTTCAGGTAAAAGTCACCGTCCTTCAATATATTAGTCCTTCGAGTCGGATACTTTTTTCTCCAGGAGCTTCAGTGGCTTTAACACCGCACAATATAAGTTATAATTACATTATTACTAACGTCTTACGGTAAGGTTTTGTCAAAATCCACCTTCGTCTGATCCGATACTACGGCATGTAATAATATCGTCGGATTCTAATCCAAATTGTTCATTATGCATTTGCATTTCCATTCTGCTTGGATGTTGATGCACTACGGTCAGTACATTCAAGTGGCCCGTATGACACCAGGCACGTGCCTGTTTGGGTTAGGTGTTAGTAGGCGAGATGGAAAATATAGGACAGAATACGAGGAAATTGACTACCGGCGTGCTGCCAGGTTGTTTGCTTGCATGTTTACTAAGTGCGTTAGTATTAAAGATTTTTATTTGGGAAGCCTATCTACGTTAGAGATTAGTGTGTACAAATCATTATAATTTGCACATAACACTATAAAAGGTTCATGCAGTTCGAAGGAGGTTCTACAGTGGCGCAACACTAATGGGATATAGGATCTAGTAGTTCTACATGGTACGTGGAAATTAAGGTGACTCAACAAGTCCGCACTTTCCACATCCCCATGGATAAGGTTAAATGTATAGGTTATACCTAGTATAAGAGAGGCTGCAAATAAAGCAAACGTTTTCGTTTGTTGAGTTGATATTTCAAACTGTTATATTTTCGTAAAGTCCTAACTTAGGTGGTTAACAGTAATATCGCCTAGACTCTTATTTCTAAATTTTCCAACGCAGGTACAAGCGGGAAATTTCCGCTGCCTGATATCATTATCTAAAAAACCATGTATTGACCACTCGCATGAGGTCCCATATCGCAGGTATACTTAAGGACCGAGAAGTGGTTATCAACTTATAGATATGCAAGTTAACTGTGGTCAGCCAGACCAGAGTCGTTGACCATAGTCAACATTATAATAACGCTCCGGCCAAACTGCTGACCCAGCAATGGGCCGGATGCTCATGCACAGACGGCAGACACTGCATGTTTGCGTGGCCGCTGTGAGTTTTTGTTAGCTATAAGTTTATTCTTTATATTCAGTTCTGATTTGACATTCATTGAATAAAGAGCCACTCGTAAAACTCAACTCCGACAAGCTGTCGTTAAAACGTTATTATTCATCACCTGTCTGAGTCCCTAGGCCAGCGGGTAAAGGGAGGGCAGTCACCCTCCCAACATAATCTTCCTAATTCATTATTGGGAGATCTACGGCCAGCCGGCCAGCAGCCAACAGTGGGCCTGACGTCCACCCCCCCTGTGACCACCTACAACTGGCAGTAAAGCTAAAGCCGACAGCTGTTCCACATTCATTGAATAACATCAATTTACATACAGATGCTTAACAGTACAGTACTGCAGCGGTTTGATGTTTACATAGAATTCTTATATATATGTATATAAGTTAACAACCAACTCCCAGCTTAGGCTGAGCAGGCCAGTTCTTATCTCCTTTATTAATATTAATCATTTATCATGTTTATCATTCTCTAGTATTAATCACCTTTTATTATTATTATTATTATCATTATACTTCTCCCTCATGCATGGTCCACCCTAAAATTAGGTCGGGTCTATTGGCCCTAGAGCTGAGCCAGCACATTGTGCCATTCCGAGCCGTGGCTCCCTCTTATTGGCTGACAGCGATCGTATGACTTCTGCAAAATGTGCAAGGTCAGCGGTCTGCCACGGGCAGCCGGATATGCATGAGCTTTTGTTCAATCTTAAGTTTAGTTTTAATTTGGATATTCAATAAAAAGCATTAGCTTGGATATAAAACTCCGGCATTGGCCGTCAACGTTTATTATATTAATTGAATTGGTTATTGTGCCTTAAGGGCCGTTAGCAACGGAGTTAGTAACTCCCTACATAATCTTCCTAAACCAGGAGAGAAGAGAGCCAGTGGCGACCGCCAGGCTCATACATAATAACAGCAAACCACGGTGGCAATTACGTCATCAACCCCTTGATTGGAACTTGCCACGGTGGCAAAGTGACAGTAACCCCTTACCCATCACGGACAGCGGCGAGGGACAGAGTCGGGTTACATATTTAAATAATTGGCGCCCAACGGATTAATATTATTACTAATATTAGAATCCCACCCCTGAAGTTATACATTATGTAAGTAGCTGAGCGTCGACAATAGCCAAGGTCTACGCATACAATTTCCTATGCCCAGCAATAGGAATTTTTTACATATACAAAAAAGTGATTCGATTTTCGATTTCTGATCCAGATTTTTATGAGTGCGAGGCAAAAATAAATAAAATAAATAACTCAAGTTACGTACACTCGTACTGGCGATTTTTATATGAATAAATTATTCAAATATTTAATTACAAGGTACTTCCATGTTCTGCGTGTTGATTTAATTTTTTCGATCTGAATTTTTTAAAGTGCATTATCAATTCTAGTGTGTCTGTGCTAATTATACACCCAGTCGAATTGACCTATACTTGTTGTCACCGTTCTGTATTTTAGTTCTGTTCTTGGGACAAATTAATCCAACATTTTTGTGTTTTAGGTGAAGATCTGTTGTTTTTCGCTAATTTTTTCGGCTTCACATCACCAAAGTGCCTCGTTGAAACATCTTGTCTTGAACCCAATCGTTAAAATTCTTGTACGCGTCCTTTTAACTGCCAATGAGTTGGGAGTATAGAGAAGTTAAGCAGGAAATTGATAGCGACAATAGCGAAGATAGCGAAGAAGTAGGATTTCGCCCCGAAGTTAGGGACACAGATCGACCAGAAATGAACGCTGAAATGATCCAAGCGCTTGTCGCAAATGCGGTCAGCGCCGCCCTTATCGAACAGGAGGAGCGGTTAAGAAGCGATTTCGCCACAGATTTAGAAGCGGTTAGAACACAGGTTAGCGCGCTGTCAGTGCAAGCGCCGCAGGTAGAAGTCTATAAAAGGGTAGTACCAAACCCTGCAGTGAGATGCGATGTCAAGTTGGACATAGTAAAGTCTCTACCGACATTCAGTGGAAGCCACGATGAGTATGTTTCGTGGAGACAGGCTGCATCAGATGCCTATGAAGTATTCAAGAAATACGACGGCAGCGAGGCACACTACGAAGCTGTAGTCATAATTAAAAACAAAATTTGCGGACCCGCTCGGTCACTACTCACGTCCCACAATACAGTGCTAAACTTCGATGCAATTATAG